ACTTATTAATGCCTAATATAGGGGCACTTTAAGGACATTATCTTTAAACATAATAACTACTCTGCAGGTAGATGGTGGTATCTCCATTTCGTATAAGAGGGGACTTAAGTGCTGAAGGTCAGACAGCTAGTAAGAGCTGGTGCTGGGATTTGAACCCAAGGCTCTCTAACTTAAAAGGCCATGCAACAAAACTTTATCTAATTGGATTCTATATTCCATGTGCCTAGCACATAATAGAGGCACAAGAAAGTGTTGAATGAACACATTTCTATAACTAGTGTTCCTTCTCCCATGCCACAAAAAAATTAATGTTGCTTTTCTATTAAAATATTTCTTGGACTCAGTTCTGTTCCCCTTACTACATAGGCGTTTAAGGGTAGATTAAATGCTTTTTTGGAATAACGAGTATTTCCACTTAACCAAGATAACTAGAGCATTAGAAAATCATTAAAGATTATAAAGCAATAGTGATTTAAATGTTGTAACTTTATTAAAAATAAAATTTAAAGATGAATGGAGTAAATTCAGAAAATGGACCTTATTTATAGAAATTGAGCATATTGAAACGGGGACCCCCAGATAGCAATAAAAAAGTAAAAAATTATATAAAGATCTTATTTAAATTTAAAGAAAAACATCATCCAAGCTGATAAATTAGACACTGTTACAGTATGAAAAAAACATTGAATCGTCTATTAGCAGCCTAGATTCCAGTTCTGATACTTATAGTAGTATAAATTGTTTTAAAAATTTTATTTATTTTAATTAGTTTCAAGTATACAGTACATTGGTTAAACATCTATAGTTTATGAAATGATCCCCCAATTGCTCCCTCCCTCCTCTGACCCTTGACCTAGCCAACGTATTAATGCTAACTGCATTCCCTATGCCATGCTCCCCAACCCCATGACCATCCATCAGCTACTAATTTGTACTTTTTTAACCTTTTACCCCGTTCTCTCAGTCCCCCAAACCCCCTTCCCCTCTGTCTGTCACCAAATTGTACACTATATTAGTGAGTCTGTTTTTGATTAGTTTGTTCTTTTTATTCCTTAGGTTCTGCATACTAGTGAAAACATGTAGTATTTATTTTTCTCTGTCTGACTTAAATACCTTTTAGGTCCATTAAAGCAATATCTTTTTCCATCCCCTTCCTTTTAGTCTGTGTGTGTCTTTTTATCTGAAGTGAGTCTCATGTAGGGATCTTCTTTTCTTATCCTTTCAGCCATTTTATCTTTTAGTTGGAGCACTTAATTCTTTTCTATTTAAGGTACCTATTGATAGGAATGTAGTTGTTACCATTCTTTATTCTTGTTTTTGATACCTGTTTTTTCTTCTTAGAGAAGTTCCTCCAACATTTCCTGTAATACTGGCTTGGTACTGATAAAACCCTTTAGCTTATTTTTTGTCTAAGAAGCTCTTTATCTGTCCTTCAACTCTAAATGATATAGCTTTGCAGGATAAAGTATTCTTGGTTGCCAAGCCCTTCTGTCCTGCATAGTTTCTTTTGAGAAATCAGCTGCCAGTCTTATGAGTATTCCCTTATAGGTAAATATCTGTTTTTCTCTTGCTGCTTTTAATATTCTTTCTTTGTATTTAAACTTTGGCATTTTAATTATGATGTGGCTTGGTGCAGGCCTCTTCAGATCCTTGATTTTTGGAATTCTCTGAGCTTCCTGGGGTTTTATGTTCATTTCCTTCACCAGATTAAGGAAGTTTTCCATCATTATTTCTTCAAACAACTGTTCAACATCTTGATTTTCTTCGGTTATGCCAATCAGATGGATATTTGGACCCTTAATAGTGTCCCATACGCTTCTTAAATTATTTTTATAGTCTTGGCTTCTCATCTCTTGCCATTCTGATTGTGTCCCGCTCTTTCCTGTCCTCTAGATAGAGCATTAATCCTTTCCTTTATTCACTTTGCTTATTCCTTTGTTTACTCCATTTAATATACTTCTCATCTCAGATAAAATGTTCTTCATTTCAGACTGGTTCCCTTTTATAATTTCCATTTCCATTTTTATGTTTTTTATCTCTTTGTTGAAGTTTCCACTAAATTTTTCTACCCTTCCCAAAAGTTCATTGAGCATCTTTATAACCAGTGTTTTGAACTCCGCATTTGTTAGATTATTTGACTCCATTATATCTGGATCTCTGTCCTGTTCTCCCATATGGTTTCTGCTTCTTTGTCTTCCCATTTTGGCTGCCTTTCCGTGTCTGTTTATATGTACTAAACAAGGCTCCTCAGTCTCACAGTCTTATTAGCACAGCTTTGTGTGGTAGGTGTCCAGTGGAACAGTCTTGAAAGAGGTTCAGCTGCAGGCCAAATTTAGCCCCAGCCTCTGCCCCTCTGGGGCCACCTGTTAAAATTCAGCAAGCAATCCACAGATGATATGCTTAAAAAGCCAAGGCCAGCTGTCACCAGTGTGAGTCTTGGCGCTGCTCAGCAAGGGGCATCTGACTTGCTTAGGACACACCTGGATGTGGCTTGGGCGGGACCACAAGTTGGGGGAGGCAGAATTTCAAGGAATCCTCTGGGCAGAGCGACCTTTGTTATCCAGTTTGATGAACTCATGGCTATGGCTGCACTGGCGATGTCCAGTGCACTGGTAAGGGAGAAGGCTCAACGGAGAAAAATAGATACCGCTGGCACTTCTGTACAGAGCGAGA